AGGAGATAAGAGTACACTCGATTTGATGAAGTGTTACTTATCTGTGATATAATAAGTACAGAAATTGAGAGGGGCATTCAGAAATGTTTATAGCGTTTCGACACCATCACAACATCCACATGTAGCAATGCAAACATATCCATCCATGGCCAATTGGAAAGAAAAATAGAATTGGTTCTTCATGATGGATAGTTGGTGGAGCACTGTATTAAAGTACCCAGCACATGCCTGGAATGCAGTAGGCACTCAATATATTAATTCCTCTCATTTCCTTACCATTCAAGTGAACCTAGACACTAACAAAGTAAGCTTGCTCCCACCCCTAACCCCCAGCCAAATATAGCTTCTGTGCAGAAAAACTAATTTGACTGTTTTATATCCCAACTTCATAACTAGTAATTCATTCCCCAGTCTAGAGACTGACCAAAGAGGCATAAAGTAATTAGAACTGGTAATACAGTCGAATATGAGATTATAGCTGGGGCCACATTATAATAATTTGGTTAAAAATTGTCCATATGTTTGAAGGCTCTCACATCTCTAGATTAAAGCAGAAACATAAAAAGCATATCAGTCATTTCAAAGTTACTTGTCTTGTAAGGGCAGGAATAGGGAACTAGAATAATAGAAAAATAACTGATTGATTAAAATGAGGTTAATTCAAGTTACTTTTTTGCGTAAAGATTAAGCAGAGGGAACTTTATTATGCTGAGACAGGCCTGTTTGGGAAATTTGACTATTATCTCTCTCCCAGTTTCTCAGAAGGCCAGATAACAACGTAGTTGTGGTTTGGTAAGGAGGAACTAAGTGTGAGTGACTCCATTTTGGTTTTCATTCTATCTGTTTGGGCCTCGTCCAGGAGTTTAGTCATAATATGGCCTCCTATAATTTATTAACATACTTTAATCATTTCAAAGGACAAGGTTGTCTAGAGCTGTTCAGCCATAGTAGTGGTATGAGTTAATTGTGGAAAAGGACTTTGATTGTATTATTTTGTAAAACTTATTATATGAGTTGGTACTGCCTTTTATGATTGATTCTCTTCATTACATTGAGGACATTGAGGACACAGAGTTTATCGAACAGCTCAGAGGTCATACAGCCAGTGGACAGGAACCTGGGTGGCATGAGGACAGGCGATTCCAGAGTCTGAGTCTTCGCTGTACCACTCATGTTGGCTGGGGAGGGAAGGAGGCATCGTCCTCTGATTTCTCTTTGTATTGAGGCTGTTCCTATTACCAGGCAAAACACATTGAAGGTGTGAACTCAGTTTGTGCAGTGGAAGTAGGGAAGGGGCCAATGAGGAAATATTTAGAATACATATATTTAGGCTATTTTAAGAAAATGTATTTCAGAAGGTAAGATAACATTTAGTATGTGAGAAGTACCTGAGATGATTCCACGTTCCACAGAGAGTATTTCCTGAAGTATTTCCACTTCAGGGATGGCAGGCAAGTGGAGGGCTGAAGGGGTAGAAGGGAAAGTATGTATGTGATTCAGGTGTGTCTGTCTGACGCCAAGTGAAAAGTGCTAGACAATTGAAATAACTACAGGAAAGGAGAGAGTTACTCAATTCCTACCTCTGGTTACTATCACTTTAGAAAGATAGAGAATTCTTTTAGGAAACTTGAATATGACTAGACTATGAAACCTTTGGGATTAAAGGCAGGTCTATAGGGATACAAGTGAAAATTTGGGATCTCAGAGGAGCTAAGGAACTTTGATGATGAGAAATAGAATAAATCAAAGAAGATGATTGAAATCTGAGACGGAAAAGAAGATTAAAGTAAACAGAGAATTGTACCTACATCATACCAAGGAACCCAGAAATAAAAAGCAAGGTTTTTTAGAAACCATGCTGTAACAACTTTCTAACCATTGTGGGCGCCATAGCCTTGCTTAGGACAATATTTACAAAGTTACGGCTGATCTTAAAATGGTCTTGTGCACAAGTGTCATGTTCCTGCAGAGAGGGGAGGCAGGAGATGAGCCTGAGTTCAAAGGGCCTAGAGTCAGCAAGAAATAGAAAGGAAAAGGAAATTGGTGTGCAGGGAGAGGTATTTTATTTTAAAGTTCTCCACAAAGTGTGTTCTGCTGCTAAGGAAAAACGAGGCTATTGGCACAATCGGCCTCTAGTGTGGGAGAGTCTCTGCAGTTTTGCCTGCTCTTATGCAAAGTTGTTTTTGTTCTGTTAACTTGAGCAAACATTTACAATAGTAATCTCTAGTGACCCGGAATACTTGGTGTACCCTACTGTTGCCTGAACTTGAATCTTACCACACTTCATCCCCAAATGGGGTGTTCAGGGCTGGCCTGGCTGGAGGCAAGCATATGGCTAGTATACTCTGGAATTGCCTCACAGTGCCCGGGAATTTGCCTACTAGCGCCTTCAAATGAGAGAATGGGGTACTGCTCCATGCTTGAAATAAAGCCTTCACCTTTAGTTTTAATTTAACCTGCAGTTTAAATTTTCCCTGTATACACGAAACATAACCTTACACAGCAATCCCTGTTGTTTATAATGTCAGGTGTGGACCAGCAACTTTTTTGAGGAAGGTTTTGTCACAGCCAGCTATCTTGAGGTGGATTGATTCCTCACTCCTCCCTTCCTCTTCCTCCTTCTCCAGTCCTTCTTTCCTTCCAGATGTAGCCGTTTAGACTATGAAGAGGTGAAAAAACTGCCATAAGTCCCTTCCCCACATAGGCTGTTTGGATGCTGTCATTTATACCTTAGCATTACCATGGGCAAGCTTATAAATCTCAAATTCTCAGTCTCATTGTATGAGAATGGGTAATAATAGAAGGTACCACTTAGGTTTTTGTGAGGATTAAATGAGGCGATGCCTTTAAAGCACTTAGCACACAGTACCTGACACAAAGAAGCCTGTTGATCAGTGTCAGCTAGATGGCACTAGCATTAGCACTTTGGGTTTGTTTCTCGGAGAGGAGGAGTTTGAATTAGCACTGAGCCTCTTCACCAGAAATGGCTGGTAACTTGAGTGAGAACCTCAGACCTTCTGTGGAAGCACTGTGTTGAGGGTGGTTATTTAACAAATACAAACACTTGTTTTGGGGCCAAGCACTGTATCTGGTGCTAAAGTGATAGAAAGCATCATCTTTGGCATCAAGTGTCTATCATCTTATTAACAAAAAAAAACCATTGATCACTCCGCACAGTGATAGTAATGAGCAGCATTTGTCTAGTGCTCTGCAGTGTTGTTTAATGCTGTGGGGAAGCTCTTTTGGAAGGAGGCAAGCTTTGAGTGGTGACCCTCCTGCTCAAATGGCCCCCAGCTCTGATATTCCCATCACCTGATCTATGATGGCTCTTTGCATCACTCCTAAAGGAGAAAAGACACATTCCACCTTGGGGAGCAGTGGGTACCATGGAAGCTGGCTTGAGAGTCAGCCACATTGGGTTGAAGCCCTTCTTCATTCACTCTGGTGGTAAGACCTAGACTGAGTTATTGAACTTCCCAGCCTCAGATTTCCCCTGTACAAATCGAGGGCTGTAGTGATAAAGCCAGCCTACTATCTGGCAACAACAGGCGCCGTTGGCATTTATGTCCTTCCCCTCTTCTTTTTTTTTTTTTTTTTTTTGAGACAGAGTCTCACTCTGTTGTCCAGGCTAAAGTGCCGTGGCGTCAGCCTAGCTCACAGAAACCTTAAATCCTGGCTCAAGCATCCTTCCGCCTCCAGCCTCCCGAGTTGCTGACAGGTCTGCGCCACATGCCAGCTACATTTTTTAATATATTTTTATTGGCCATTAATTTCTGTCTATTTTAGTTGAGACGGGGTCTCACTCTTGCTTAGGCTGGTTTCGAACATCTGACTTGAGCGATCTCCGCCTTGCTTCCAGAGTGCTAGGATTACAGGCGTGAGGCCACTGCACCCATTCCACTCTCCTTGACTACATCAAAGGATGAATCAACCACTTGGCTTTGGCCAGTCAGTGGCCTTCCTCCTTGTACCCAGGGCTTTCTAGCCAGTTGGCAACCAGGAAAAACCTTACTAAACCAATGCTACTACTGCAGCCACTGCTACTACTGCTAATGTAAACACCAGCATGGCTCAGATTGCTTTTTAAACCTGTGAGAGTGGCCAAAATGCAGGTCTTATGTGTTTCCAAGGGGCCCCAAAACTCCACAATAGGAGGTTTTGGAAGAAGGACCAGGTATCAGTCTTGGTGCTGATAAAAAGGGAAAAGGTCGGTAGCACCAATACGCCTTCCACCTGTCTAGAGTGGAAAGCCCTCATCCTTTCCCTGGAGGAATTTGGCAGACCAAACAAATCTGTATCTAAGAATGTGTTTTTCCAGGAGGGAAGGATCTGATATGGATGGCAAATCTAGAGACCAAATACCTTTTCTGCCTGGGGTACATGGAGCATAGTTTTTTCTTTTAGTCCTGGGTAAGTTGCACCGGTGGTGGATGAGGTCAGCAATTAGAGTTGGCTCTTCTGGGCTAGATTGGGCCTTCGGCTTGTAGGGCAGTTAGCAGTTTCCCAGGGAGAGAACCCAGCTTCAGAAATTCATCTCCCCCTGTGACACATCCCTAACAACAACCAGTGAGGTCCTCTGTCCTCTTTGTGAGTGTGTATGTGCATGCCATTGTTTGTGTCAGTTGCTTCTGTTATACAGAAAAGTGTTGAGGGCTAGGCAGGTTTTCCGCTGCATTTCATGTACCCCTCAGGAATGCAACTGGCAGCAGTATGATCGAGCTTGTGCTAATTCTAAGAAGAAATATTTAAATGAAACTCCATTTGAGTTGTTTAAAATGGAAAATGTTATTAAGGCAAGTTATTATGCATTCTAAATGACTTTTTCTATTTTGTTTCTTTTAGGAGAACTATCCTATCCCTGAACCAGGCCCAAATGGTAGGTTCTTAGGAAACTTGATTTATATTTTATTTTTCCTATTGTTTCCTGGAGACATGTGTGTATTGTTCTCTTTTCCTACTGTTTCTTACATTTTCCTCTTAAACGACTATGGTTTTTTAGGCTGAGAACCTAGTCCTAGTCCTTGTCCACAGCATGACTGGGTGGGTAGGTTTATCTGGCTGCCACATGAAACTAAAGAAGTAGTGACAGAACCAGAAAAATTACTGTAACAGAATGCTGACTTGTCCCAAAGAATTTTTTTTTTTTTTTTTTTTTTTTTTTAATTTTTTTTTTTTTTAAAAGCAGTCAAATTTAGCAGTGGGGGGTTGAATACCAACTTTAGTGACACTAATGTGAATAAGTTCTGATAACCCACTACCATCGGACCAGCCCCAAAGAATTTTTGATGTAAAGTGTATGGACCAAAAGCAGAATTATTCTTCTTTGGACCTAACAACAGAGTACCCCATCTACTATAAGCTGCTATTGGAGTTGCTAAATATGCCTTTTTTTTTTTTTTTTTTTTTTGAGAAAGAGTCTTGCTTTGTTGCCCAGGCTAGAGTGAGTGCTGTGGAGTCAGCCTCGCTCACAGCAACCTCAATCTCCTCGACTGAAGCAATCCTGCTGCCTCAGCTTCCTGAGTAGCTGGGACTACAGGCACGCGCCACCATGCCCGGCTAATTTTTTCTCTATATATTAGTTGGCCAATTAATTTCTTTCTATTTATTGTAGAGACCGGGTCTCGCTCTTGCTCAGGCTGGTTTTGAACTCCTGACCTCAAGCAATCCGCCCACCTTGGCCTCCCAGAGTGTTAGGATTACAGGCGTGAGCCACTGCGCCCGGCTGCCAAATATGTTTTAATTCTAATCCAAATTTTGAAAAGGAGTGAGTCTACAGAACATGATCTTTTAATTAGCAAAGGGAGCATAGTGCCAGCCTCCCCCCACTCCCTAGGAAGGCCAGAGACCGAAGAGTGGGGCAACCCAGGACCTCTGTCCAGTAGAGGTGGGGCACTGCATGGAGCCCTGCCTCCTGCCCTAATCAACCCAGCTCGGAAGGTGAGCGAGCAGACTGGGGCAGGGTTCCTTACACCTTTGTCCACTCCTTCCAGGACTCTTACTGGATGAGCCCGCCAGATTCAGCTGACATGCTGACGCCTGGGGTGGCATGTGTTCCCGGGGAGGACATACTGCCCTCTTGGCCAGGGCAGATCCCTGCTGACAGATTTTCAATCCCTTGTATCCCTGGGATCCCCCTTCTTCATAATCCACATGACTCTGGAGTGAGGCTGGGGGCACTGGGCAGAGTTCATCTTCCCCACCCAGCACCTAGCCACTCAGGTCCCCTTTCTGACTTTGAGAAGTTGGGGATGTCCTTTTCACTCTGTCATATCTCACCCCAAAACTGTAGCTTCTGTGTGAACATCACATGAAGGCAGCTTTCCTGGTGGCTCCAGAGCTTTGCTACTCAAAGTTCAGTTGGATTATTGGCTTGTAAGTGATAAGAATATAGACTAGATAGAATATAGCTGTTCTGTCAGTGCTTAGCAAGTAATGTATGTTCAGGGTTTACCCACTTGCACCGAGATAATTATGATCACGTTCAAAGAGGCTCACCGTGTCCTGAAAAGTTGTTTGTTGATTCCAGAAGTGGCCAAACAAAGGCTATCTTGGACCCAAAGGATCCTGGTACAGCTTCTCTCTCTGAAGCAGCATTCTGCTTTCTTGTCTCTTGCTATACTTGAATTGGAAGATGGGAAAAGAGTACATTTCCATGACTGTTCCAGCAAGTCAAATCTAATCTCTTACTACAAATTGGTCACTACAAGATAGGAAACTATGAGACAGTTTTCCTAATTCAAATGACCTTCTCTACCTTTGATCTCAAAATTCACCCTGCCATTTCTTACTGCAGTCACCAAAACCACAGAGGAAGGAAGTTCTACAGAGCCACACTTGGTGGATTGCTGGTGGTCAGTGGCAAAGGAGCATGTAAGACATCTGAATGCATAGCAGAGCTTCTGGGTCTCTTTGTCTTTCTGAGACAGGGTGTTTTCTCATGGAGAGATTTGTAACATAGTCATCTCAGTCAGACTAGGCCCGTAATACTTTTGGCAAAGAGGCTCAGTAGCATTAATTCAAACTGAAAAACTGACAACAGTACCACCAAATCTCACTTTCTTTAAACCCTTGAAGGGAAGATACCAGTTGAAATCTTTGGGTGGTTTAAATAAAGCTGTACCTTTTTGAAAACAACAGGCATGAAGAACCCAGCCTGATAGTTCACATAGTGTTGTCAAGCTGAGATTCTGCCAGACTCATTCTCACGAACAGGGAAGAATCAGGCAGAGCATATTAATGGTCCAGAAACATCTGTCTCCTGGAAAACAGTTCTTTCTCTTATCTGGCAAAGCATATTAATTGTCTGGAAACATTTATCTCCTGGAAAACAGTTTGTTCTCTTAATTGATTAGTACATTTGATCCTACTAATCATATCTTGTTTACCCAGTGTATTGATCAGGGTTTTCCAGAGAAACAGAATCAGTAGGGGGTGTATGGAGAGAGAGAGATTGATTTATTTTAAGGAATTGGCTCATGTGATCATAGGGGTGGGAGGCTGGCAAGTGTGAAGTTTGTAGGGCAGGCCAGCAGGATTCCGGTAAGAGTGGATGTTGCAGTCTTGAGGAGAATTCGTTTTCCTTCAAGACACCTCAGTTTTTGTTTTTAAGGCCTTCAAACTGATTGGTTGAGGCCCACTCATCTTATGGAGAGTAATCTGGCTTTACTCAGTGTCTACTGGTTTAAATGTGAATCACACCTAAAAAATACCTTCACAAAAATACCTACACTGGTGTCAGACTAAACAGCGGGGCACTATAGCATAGCCAAGTTGACACATAAAATTAATGATCACATGAAGTTCATTTCCTATGTGGAAGCTTTTTTGCCCGACAGGGTCTTGTTCTGTTGCCCAGGCTGGAGTGCAGTGGTGTGATCATAGCCCACTGCAACCTTGAACTCCTGGGCTCAGGAAATCCTCTTACCTCAGGCTCCCAAGTAGCTGGGACTGCAGACATGTGCCACCACACCTGGCTAATTCTTATTTTTTAGTTTTTTGTAGAGAAGGAGTCTCAATATGTAGCCCAGGCTGGTCTCAAACTCCTGGGCTTAAATGATCCTCCCACTTTGGCCTCCCAAAGTGCTGTGACTCACAGGCACTGTGAGTCACCACCATTCCCTGCCCCTTGTGAGACTTAATCGGGGTGGCTCTACAGCTTGTTTTCCTCTACGGTATAAATTTTGTACCTGGCCTTCATAACCCAGCCCTCTCCCATGTCCAGAAGGAAATCATAGGGGTACCTCAGAGTGATATAAGGGTTGCTCCCTCCCTCACTGGTTTTCTCCTCTTTTCTGTTATCAGAGGTACTACTGAAGATGCATTCTGTTGGAATCTGCGGCTCAGATGTCCACTACTGGCAGCATGGACGAATTGGGAAATTTGTTGTGGAAAAACCCACAGTGCTGGGGCATGAAGCTTCAGGAACAGTTGCAAAAGTGGGATCATTGGTGAAGCACCTCAAACCAGGTCAGCACCGTCCTTCAGCTAGCTGATTTGTGTATTTAGTCATACTTATTAGCGCATGCTTTCTCCAGGCCAGGACCTCTGTGAAGCTCTGGGGTCCAGCAGTGAACAACATAGTCATGGTCTGACCTTCCACAGGGGATGACAGACCTGGGACAGATATGCAGTTACTTAGCCACAGTGTGTTAAGGGCAGTGAAGGAAAATGCAGGGTGTTATTGGTGTGTTTTACCCAGACCCCCTGGCTCATTTGAGGAAGGGATGATTAATCCAACATCTGAAGGCAAGTAAGAAATAAGACAGGTAAAGGGGTGGAGAAAACATTCCAGGCACAGAACCATAAATGCCTTCACATGCTGGGAACCATCATGGGGGCCTTGGATGCAGTGTTTGATTTTTGTTAGGTAGCTGGGAAACCACAGATACTTTTCCTAGATTTGCCTAATTCATTTTCCTGGAAAGGGGAATTCTCATCTGTGTCTGACTATGTTATTCCCTGGCACAATGAATTAAATCCAAGCTGTCTTGGCATAGGTAGCTGTTGGCTTTACCCTTCCTTTGCCAAAAAGGCCATTGTACAGCCTAGAGATCATGTCAGATTATTTGGGGGAAGGTGAGGGGTGATAGGAGGCACCATCCTATGTTAGTTAGCAGGCTCTCTGAGCCTAGCCAGAGAATGGAGAAAGATTGAGCAGCTCTGGAGAATTTAGATATATGTCTTGTTTGGGAAAGTTAAGTTAGGACCTCCATTCATCATTAGTGAAATCCAGAAAGCTCTTTATAGTGTTGCAGGGTTATCCCAAAGTGGAAGGTTTGTAGCTTCCAACATTCACTGATGATTGGTTCTTACTTGTGGGAGAAAGTCTCTAAACATAAATTATAACAAGGTGTGGGTTCTCTAAATGTATATTTTAACAGTGCTTATTCAGTTGTTACAATTAGTCCAGTCTTATGCCAGGTGCTTTGAGGGCTATGAAAAAAATGAGATGATTCCTGGATGCTTAGCTCTAACTGGGCAGACCAGACATCAGGACCTACATAAATACCAAGAATTAGAGAACAGGACCATAGGGCTGCAATCAGGTGTAAGAAAAAATAGGCTTTCGGGGTTTGAAGAAAGGGCATTCATTGTGGACTGAGGTTGTTAAAGACGGTTCATGGAGGAGCTAGGTCTCTGAGCAGGATATTTAATAGTAATAATATTATAATAAGAAGGCAGCTAATATTTATTGACTTGATATGTTAGTCTCCATGTTAAACATTTCCACATATAGTTGTTTCATTCTTGAAGAAACAACTCTCAATTTCTATCCTCATTCATTGATGAAGAAATTAAAGCTTGGTAATTGCCCAGGGTCACATACCAGTTAGTCTCAGTGGGCAGCTGGGATGCCCACACTAGTCTTTAGACTGCAGGGCAAGTAGACTTCCCAGCACCTTCATACTTTAGAAATGTTTTGTGTGTGAGTTAGTGAAAAGGTCAAAAGCTATTAATAATATTCTAGTTAAGAGCAATAAAAATATAAAATTACAGAGATGGGTTTGCTAGTAAGTCTGTGTTGCTGGGAGCAGAGGTTCTATGTTTAGGGAGTTAGAGGAGATAATAAAAATGCATAATCTGTATAAAAGTCCTTTAGAAAGCACTGTACAGCTGTGAATTGTTATATTATTTAATGTAATAATAATTAGAAGGTAAAACTGAATAATATAAAACTCACCCGATTATGGAGGATCTTGAATGCCAGGTTGAAGAATTCATCCTTAATGGTATAGGTCAGGAGTGGGGAACCTTTTCATGTTGGAAGGCAGTATTAATTTAGCTGTAATCAAGTAAGGCTGCCTTTAAGAAACTTCAATTAGATACACTTTAAAATGTACATTATTTTATAAAAATGTAACTGTTATTTTCCTTTTGAAGTATTGCATGGAGTTGTTCTGTTAAGCTGAAGGCTAATTCATGCTGTCAATCAGTTATGGTTCTCCTTGAAAGGGACAGTTGTTTATATTTTGAAATGTTATCTGAGACTAAGCATCCTACAACTTTTACAATGCATTCTTTCATAATTTCTACATCACTGAATGGCTTCCCTTTTTTCCTGAGTACATAAGCTACTTTAAAAGTTGCTTCAGTGGCATTACTTCCAGGTCTTATTGCTGCTTGAAAGAATTGTCTTCGCTTTTGCTTTTCACCTTTTAATTTCTGCAATACAACCTTTTGCGCCTCTTCCTCTAATTTAAAATATTTGTGGTCCTTACGGGTGTTATAATGCTGGTGAGCATTGATTTCTTTAATGTTATTACAGTATCACAAAACAACCAAATCATCTTATCTTTAACAGAAACAAGATAATATTACAATTCCCAATCCTCATTTAAAAATCTGTTTTATTCCTTCAGCATTCTCCTGGTCTTCTTTGACATGATGGGATGTTAAGCAGACAAAATTTAAAAATACTGTCAAGTATTTTTTGGTTAATGTGTAACTATTCACCAATCCACTTCAAACAAAAACACAGTGTACCACTGGCAAAAACTGATAACAGACTGGCATACTCAACCCCCATAAACTCTTCAACAACCAACCTCATGTGGTAGTGGTGCTAGTTGGGCAGGGGAAGTTAGAACTAAGTCGTCAATGTAGCAGGTGTTAGTTTAGCTCTTATGGCTTACTAATATTCTAATTGTGCTGGTCAATCTGGGAGGATTATTTTGTTGAAGCCTATTTTATTCTTTGATATTTTAAATATGTTCATTTTAAGAATAAAAATATATAAGATGAACAAAAATGAATTAAAAATAAAAGGATTTGTTCTGTAAAATTTGGATTCAGTCAAAAAGCTGCACTTAAGGCCGGGCGCTGTGGCTGGCCTGCGCCACCATGCCAGCTAATTTTTTTAATATATTTTTAGTTGGCAATTAATTCTTTCTATTTTAGTTGAGACGGGGGTCTCACTCTTGCTTAGGCTGGTTTCGAACTTCTGACCTTGAGCGACTCCCGCCTTGCTTCCCAGAGTGCTAGGATTATAGGCGTGAGCCACTGCACCCATCCTCACTCTCCTTGACTACATCCAAAGGATGAATCAACCACTTGGCTTTGGCCAGTCAGTGGCCTTCTCCTTGTCACCAGGGCTTTCCTAGCCAGTTGGCAACCAGGAAAAAAACCTTACTAAACCAATGCTACTACTGCAGCCACTGCTACTACTGCTAATGTAACACCAGAATGGCTCAGATTGCTTTTTAAACCTGTGAGAGTGGCCAAAATGCAGGTCTTATGTGTTTCCAAGGGCCCCTAAAACTCCACATAGGGTTTTGGAAGAGAGGACCAGGTATCAGTCTTGGTGCTGATAAAAAGGGAAAAGGTCGGTAGCACCAATACGCCTTCCACCTGTCTAGATGAGGAAAGCCCTCATACTTTCCCTGGAGGAACTTGGCAGACCAAACAAATCTGTATCTAAGAATGTGTTTTTCCAGGAGGGAAGGATCTGATATGGATGGCAAATCTAGAGACCCAAATACCTTTTCTGCCTGGGGGTACATGGAGCATAGTTTTTTCTTAGTCCTGGGTAAGTTGCACCGGTGGTGGGATGAGGTCAGCAATTAGAGTTGGCTCTTCTGGGCTAGGATTGGGCCTTCGGCTTGTAGGGCAGTTAGCAGTTTCCCGGGAGGAGAACCAGCTTCAGAAATTCATCTCCCCCTGTGACACATCCCTAACAACAACCAGTGAGGTCCTCTGTCCTCTTTGTGTGTATGTGCATGCCATTGTTTGTGTCAGTTGCTCTATTATACAGAAAAGTGTTGAGGGCTAGGCAGGTTTTCTAGCGTGCATTTCATGTACCCCTCAGAATGCACTCGGCAGCAGTATGATCTGAGCTTGTGCTAATTCTAAGAAGAAATATTTAAATGAAACTCCATTTGAGTTGTTTAAAAATGGAAAATGTTATTAAGCAAGTTATTATGCATTCTAAATGACTTTTTCTATTTTGTTTCTTTTAGGAGAACTATCCTATCCCTGAACGGGCCCAAATGGTAGGTTCTTAGAAACTTGATTTATATTTTATTTTTCCTATTGTTCTCCTGGAGACATGTGTGTATTGTTCTCTTTTCCTACTGTTTCTTACATTTTCCTCCTTAAACGACTATGGTTTTTTAGCTGAGAACCTAGTCCTAGTCCGTTGTCCACAGCATGACTGGGTGGGTAGGTTTATCTTGGCTGCCACATGAAACTAAAGAAGTAGTGACAGAACCAGAAAAATTACTGTAACAGAATGCTGACTTGTCCCAAAGAATTTTTGATGTAAAGTGTATGGACCAAAAGCAGAATTATTCTTCTTTGGACCTAACAACAGAGTACCCCATCTACTATAAGCTGCTATTGGAGTTGCTAAATATGTCTTTTTTTTTTTTTTTGAGAAAGAGTCTTGCTTTGTTGCCCAGGCTAGAGTGAGTGCTGTGAGTCAGCCTCGCTCACAGCAACCTCAATCTCCTCGACTGAAGCAATCCTGCTGCCTCAGCCTCCTGAGTAGCTGGGACTACAGGCACGCGCCACCATGCCCGGCTAATTTTTTCTCTATATATTAGTTGGCCAATTAATTTCTTTCTATTTATTGTAGAGACCGGGTCTCGCTCTTGCTCAGGCTGGTTTTGAACTCCTGACCTCAAGCAATCCGCCCACCTTGGCCTCCCAGAGTGTTAGGATTACAGGCGTGAGCCACTGCGCCCGGCTGCCAAATATGTTTTAATTCTAATCCAAATTTGAAAAGGAGTGAGTCTACAGAACATGATCTTTTAATTAGCAAAGGGAGCATAGTGCCAGCCTCCCCACTCCCTAGGAAGGCCAGAGACCGAAGAGTGGGCAACCAGGACCTCTGTCCAGTAGAGGTGGGGGCTGCATGGAGCCCTGCCTCCTGCCCAATCAACCCAGCTCGGAAGGGAGCGAGCAGACTGGGGCAGGGTTCCTTACACCTTTGTCCACTCCTTCCAGGACTCTTACTGGATGAGCCCGCCAATTCAGCTGACATGCTGACGCTCGGGTGGCATGTGTTCCC